TGTGGGAAAATTCTACTACCAGTCCTTCATCACCTTACACGAAATAGGGTGAATACATCTCATTACACGACATCTTTGTCTTCATATCTACGTGCTACCAAAGGGGTTGAGACTAGTTCGTGTGCTTCAAGTGATTTCATATCATGCAAGCATTGTATAACGCCATTTTCTCGTTGATGGGATCCGTTCAAATACTGCGAATTGTCTGCATTTTTGGCCATGAGTTAATTGGAATTACAGGTGTAAGGTAGGAAATATTGATTCAATTACGTTTCTATTTATTAATTAATTTCTTTTCTTCATTTTTAATCCTGGATTTCTAGTCGGCATAGCCTCCGTTAACGCCCAATAATTTTGATCCGATCATGGCCAAAATCCAACCCCCATTCGCATAGCCCACTACTAGGCATCCAAGTTGCCTGATGGCACGATAAAGTTCATTGAACCCTGTGTTGATGGGATAATGGGCCGGCGAGTGACTTTTGGCATTTGGCTAAAAGTACTTTGGGAAATTTTTCCTTATGCTTAGCTTGCCAATATTTCGGACCAAGGCGTACGTATGCTATTTGCCTAACTGGTCGAGAATACGACTCGCCTTCTTCTACCTCTCTGTCTCCCATTGCCGCTCTTTTACTTTTTCTAACAGGCAGCTGCTCCACCGGTCGGGTTCGTACCTCTCTTCCGGTCAAGCATCAGAATTCCGGATTTTACGGGCCAGTTTTGCCGACAGTGTTGGGTGCTCGGACTCGTCACTCCAAACATTTTGGATCAGCCGCAATCCAGCCTATGCACTCCACATCGGTCATTGCTTTGCTCAATCCTGCTCTTACTCTTGGGCCTCTTCTGTCCAACTGTCAATTCGCACCTTCTGCTCCATCTCTTGCTACTACTGCTCTAGCTACTACTACTACTACTACTACTACTAGTAGTAGTAGTAGTGCTAATGCGGTGGTTAATAGATTGGCCATCTGTTCCAGTAGTACTCAAGCATCTGACTCGCCTATTCCCCATGTTAGGCCACACCGGCCCGGATCAGATCCTCCAGAGGTAGCCTTATCCACGATGGGATCTTCTTCAGAACAGACAGTCTGCTACCTGCCCGCATTGCAGACCTGTGGCTCTGAGATAGACGATGGTCCACATTGCCGACGCTGCAGGAATCATGGCCGGCACAACCCTTGGAAGGGGCACAAGAAGACATGTCCCTTCAGTGACTGCAACTGTCCACAGTGCATTCTCATCTCGATGCGCAAATCAAATGAAAAATGCTTGCGTAAGCATTTTCTGTATATTGAACCCCTAGAATTCATTTGCTTGCTGGACTTTTATCCACAAGTTGACCTCGTGGAGCTCTCGAAAGTATACCTTGTTCTTGAGTACATAGAGGGGGAACAAACTTCAAGTGTGGATTCTGGGAAAACGTGGCACATGGTTTTTAAAAGACCGTCCCGATGTCAG